TCTGATCCAGGTTATGGCCTTTGCCATTACTTGCTATGTATCAGAGAGCTGGAAAATTACTAAGGATGACAGAAGAAGAATGGATGGTGTTGAGTTGTGGTGTTAGAGAAGAGTATTGGACTAGTAAGAGAACAAGCAGGTCTGTCTTGGAGAGGGTAAAACCAAGTTTCTCCTTAGAGGCAAGGATTTTGAAGCTCTTTCTCACATACTTTGGGCACATGGCCAGCAGGGACCAGTCCTTGGAGAAGGATGTGATGCTTGGAAGGGTGAAGGGACAGTGCAGGAGAGGAAGACTCAGATGAGATGGATTGATACAGTAACTGGAGTAATGGGGGTTGGTATGTCAGAGTCAGTGAGACAGGTTCAGGACAGGGCAGGCTTTAAAGCTGTTGTACATAGCATTGCTCTGAATCATAGGCGACTCAATGGCACATAACAACAGTCATTCACCCTTTAAAAGTATACAAGTCAATGTGATGAGTATATCAGAGTCATGCAAACATCATCATTGTCAAGTTCAAGACCACATCATCACTCCTAAAAGAAACCCTGCACGCATAGCAGTCATGATCATTTTCCTCTCCCCAGCCTTTGGCGGACAATAATCAACTTTCTGCCTCTATGTTAATTGTTTGGGGTACCATCCAGTTGTGACAATGTTGAACTGCCCCATAGAATTTCAAGGCTGTGGTCATTCACTGTTGGTAGGAGTGTAAAATGGTGCAACTTTTGTGGAAGGCGGTATGGTGCTTTCTCAAAAAGTTGCAAACAGAAATACCATTTGACCCAGCAGTTCCACTACTGGGAATATTCCCCAAAGAGACCATAATTGACATCCAAGCAGATACATGCACACCTATGTTTATCGCAGCTTAGTTCACAATAGCAAGGAGTTGGAAACAACCTAAGTGCCTGTCAACAAAAGAATGGATAGAGAAGCTGTGGTATAGTCACACAATGGAATACTACGCTGCTTTGAAAAACAAGGAACTAAAAAAAAAAAAGAAAAACTAGGAACTAATGAAATATTATATGAAATGGGTGACCCTGGAGAACATTATGCTGAGTGAAATAGCTCAGTCACAAAAAGGACAAATACTGCATAGTGCCACTGTTGTTAAACAGGACTAACATCAGAGTTGAGAGGAGACTGAGAAAGACAGGATAAATAATGTATACTGCATTGACACAGATGAGGGAGAGAACTGTTTAAAAGGTATATATGATTAGGTATTTTTGTCATGACAGGAGTCCAGAACAAAGGCTGCACAGTGAAGTGGACACGGGAGTGGGGGGGATTGTATAACAGTGAAAGAATTTTTCTTTTTACTTTTCAAAGAGAAGAGTGAACAGGGGTGGGGGAAAGGTGGGCAGGGAGAAAAGTGCAACAATGAATGAATGGAAATCCAAAGTCTCTGTAAACGTTCATTAAAATTAATAGTAATTTTAAAAAAATTCCAGAAATTTCTCCTGCAGAGTTACTGGGAGAGATCAAACTGCCACCCTTCCAGATAACAGCTGGGGACTTACTCATTGTACCACCAGGCATCTCTTCTATCTCTGTGAATTTCCTGATTATGTACAAATAGAATGATTCAGCATGGAGTTCTTTGTATATGACTCCTTTCACTTGCCATAGTGTTTCCCATGTTTATCCACATTGGAGCATGGGTCAGACGTTACCGCTCAAAAGATATTCCACTGGATGAGTTTTTCCTGCTGAAAGCCTTAGAATATGTTTGCTTTCTTAAATGTGTGCTTTATACCTGTAGTAAAATATAGGGGAATTTTCAAACTTTGTTTCTTCCAGTATTTGTCTTCTGTCTTCTCCTTCTGGGATCTCATTTCTAGTATGTTGATGGGCTTGAAGGTACCTCATAGGTCTGAGGCCCTACTCATTGATCTTTATTCTGTTGCTTTCCTGTTCATGGAATAGGTAATTTCAATCATTTTCAATTTTGCTGATTTTTCTTTCTACCTTCTTAAATCTGCTCTTGAATCCCTTTAGTGAGTTTTTTTCACTGTAGTTCTTGTACAACTCCGGAATTTCTTTTCATTTTTTTCTTTTCATTGTGATTTTGACAAAAGGTTACAGAAAAGTTGGATTTTCCATCATTCATTGTTGCATATTTTCCTCCCTTCCCCAGACATTTTTTCTTTTATTTTTTTCCTGTTGGGTCTTTCCCCACTCTTCTTTTCTTTGTTGACATTCATTATTTGATGAGACATCATTCTCATATTTTTCTTTTATTCTTTAAACACAGTTTTCCTTAGCTATTTGAAAATATTTTAAAATAAGTTATGTCAAAGCCTAAGACTTTGGCTAGTCTTCTCAGGGCCCATTTCTGCTGACTGCTTTTTCTCCTTTTTACGGAACATGCTTCTTTGTCTCCTAGGTCTGTTTTTGTTTTTGTTTTTGTTTTTGTTGAAAAGTAGACATTTTTAAATTTTGTGTGTGTGTACCATCAAATCAGATCTGACTGGTACAGGAGGAGATTGTCCCTCCTTCTCCAGCACAGCATCTGGTGGATTCAAACTGCCCACCTCTGGGATTACAGTGCAGCTTCTTACCACTAGGCCACCAGAGCTCACCTAACATTTCAAAGAATATAATACAGTGTGGGGCAGTGCCTTCTCTGGGATGTGTTGTTGTTACTATATGTTTGTTTACTTGCTTTTAGTCATAATCATTTGAAGTCTATCTCCTTTGACATATGCAGCTACTAATGGTTCTGCTAGATTAGTTCAGCAGTCAGATGGCTGCACAGAGATGTTCTTCGCTTCCTGAATCCAGTAAGTCTCCCTGTCTTTGCTAAGAGGGGTGTGTGTGTGTGTGTGTGTGTGTGTGTGTGTACACACATAACAATAGGACACACCTTCAACTCTCAAGCAGGCAGTCTATAACTTCCTCCTTTCACAGTACCTCAAGGTTTGACCAGGGGTGATTTAGGACCTTCTCAGGTCTTTCCTGAGCACATGCCAGTGTTGAACATGTTTTTGGACCTACTAATATATGCAACTTTTTTTTTTAATTTTTGTATGAGTGTACCATTAAATCGGATCTGACTGTTACAGGAGGAGATTGTCCCTCCTTCCCTGGCAGAGCATCTGGTGGATTCGAACCAAGCTCCTCTGGGATTGTAGTTGCAGCCTCTTGCCACTAGGCCACCAGAGCTCCCCGCTTGTATGCAACTTTTTAAAGAAGCCACACTATTGTTGTTTGCTGTCTGTCGAGTGAGACCCAACCATTAACTGACCCTCCGGCAGGTTTTTAAAGGCAGTAAATCACATGAGAGGAGACTGCACATTCCTCTCCCATGGAGCATCTGGTGGATTTGAAACCACACACAGGTCACAGACGCTGACGGTTCTTGAGGAATGTACTTGGAAGGCGCTGCAGCCCAGTGTGTTTCTGTCCAGTGAGTGGCAGGCTGACCTCAGTGACTGTTGGTTTTCACGGCTCCCAGGAAGTTGAGAGGGGGTGGAAATAATACGAGTCAGCGCTGCACAGAGACCACCATTCTTACCGAGATTCCACCATCTTTGTTGAAGACACATTTCCTGAAAACCAACAATTAACATCCAGAATTCTGAGAAAGTGGTTTCAGGCAATTTAAGCAGTGCATTCAGTGCTTTTACTGGGTGAGCTGGGGTGGGGAGAATTTTCAGGATTCCTTCCTCTGCCATGTTCTCAGCCATCGCCAGCAGTCAGCTTTGGGTCTGCATGTGCTGTTTCTGCTTGGTTGAGTTATTGTGGATCCCCTTGGCCGGTGGGGTCTGCAGTGCCACCGGATAGCCTTGCATCTGCCACAGGCTGGCTGTGTCACCCTGACACAGGAGCTGACGTGACCAGACACCTCCTGTGTGTCTGGTTCTGTGTGCCATGTATTTGCTGTCCATCAAAATGGTCATCCTTACAGCCACCAAAAAAGAAGTAGTCATTCCATTTTGTACCTGGAAAACAAATCAAATGCAAGATGTTTAACACTCTAACTACACCTAGCAAACGTCTTAGCAGGTTGAATTTTGTTAGGTTGTTGTCACTGCTACAACTCTCTCAGGAGAGGAAGTGAAGTGTCGGGCTCCCTCAGAGTCATCTGACTCCCACCCCAAGTCTGTCTTCTTCCACAGCCCCCCTGTTGTCCACATCCCCATGCCGCTCCCCTGGCCACGGCCTTTGCTGCTCTCAGTCTCACTTTCCTCTGTCAGTGAAAGAGTTGAAATTGTCGAAACTGTTGATTCTGACTTAACAATACAAAATAACAACAGTAACATTGCATCCACAGACACTGGGGCATTTCAGTAGGACCCCTTCTGCATGACTCTGGGGAAGTCTGTGGTTCTTTGGGGCCCATTGTTTGGACTTCTCTTGCTGACAGACTCTCATTTGAATTGAAACACTGGGGCCCCATCTGGCCCTGCAGGTGTGTTAACCCTCCGGCAGGTGTGTTCACCCTCC